TCTAAATCCCTAAACTTATAACCCTCTAAAATCCAAACCCTCCAAACCAATAAACATCTAACAATCAAAACCCATACACTCTCTAAACTTCTTAAACACCTAACTCTCAAACTCATAATCTTCTAAACCCTACCAATTAACTCCTAACCCTCTAAACCCCTCACCCTCGAAGCACCTATACCATAAAACCCTAAACCTCTGAACCCCGAAACTAAACCCCTAAAAAAACCCTAAACTCTAAAACCTATAACCTTCTAAATTTCTAACCCTCTAAACCACTAAACCTCTACATATCGAAACCCATAAAGCCTCTAAACCTTTAAACACCTAACTATTTAAATCTCTTAACCCATAATATTCTAAACCCTAACCTTCTAAAACCCTAACCCTCTGAACCCCTAACTCTTTAAGTCCATAAACCCCTAAAACAATAGCCATCTAAACACCTAAACCTCTAAACCCCTTACCCTTTAAAACCCTCCCTCTAAACCCTTAAACCCATCATCCTCTAAACCTGTCAACCCATAAACTTAGTCCAATAAGTATCGAACCCTCTAACTTCCAACCCTCTAAACCCATCACCCTCTAAACCCTATAGCCCTAAATCCCTATACCCTAAACCCCTAACCCTCTTAAACCACTAACCCTCTGTGTGGAGTATGTTGGGTAGTGGGTATCACGCTGTGGGTGGGTGCAGGGGTGTGTGGTGGGTGGAGGGTATCACAGGGTGGGTGCAGGGTGTGGGTGGTGGGTGAGGGTGTGGGTGGTGGGTGAGGGTATCACGGTGGGTGGGTGCAGGGTGTGGTGGTGGGTGCAGGGTGTGTGTGGTGGGTGCAGGGTGTGTGTGGTGAGTGGAGGGTTCACAGGGTGGGTGGGTGCAGGGTGTGGTGTGGTGGGTGCAGGGTGTGTGGGTGGGTGCAGGGTGGTGTGGGGGGGGGGTGGTGGGTGGTGCAGGGTGAGTGTGGTGGGTGCAGGGTGAGTGTGGTGGGTGCAGGTGTGGTGGTGGGTGCAGGGTGAGTGTGGTGGGTGCAGGGTGTGGGTGGTGGGTGGAGGGTATCAGGGTGGGTGGGTGCAGGGTGTGGGTGGTGGGTGCAGGGTGAGTGTGGTGGGTGCAGGGTGTGTGTGGTGGTGGGGTATCACTGACTGGGTGGGTGCAGGGTGTGTGTGGTGGGTGCAGGGTGAGTCTGGTGGGTGCAGGGTGAGTGTGGTGGATGCAGGGTGTGTGTGGTGGGTGCGGGGTATCAAGGACTGGGTGGGTGCAAGGTGTGGGTGGTGGGTGAGGGTATCACAGGGTGGTTGGGTGCAGGGTGAGTGTTTTGAGTGTGGTGAAAGTCGTCAGGGTTCACACCAATCCACCACCTCTACCACCCCTACTGTGCAGTGGACCGGCCACCACAAAGCAGCACACGTCGGAGGAGTGAGCGGATGGCTCTCCCTATGCGGGCCAGGCTCCCTTGCTTCCTCTTCTCCTGCTGTACCATCAACTCCTCCACCAGGGTCTCCTGTACCACCAACTCCTCCACCAGGGTCTCCTCAAGTACTACCAACTTCTCCACCAGAGTCTCCTGTACCACCAACTCCTCCACCAGCGTCTCCTCAAGTACCACCAACTCCTCCACCAGAGTCTCCTGTACCACCAACTCCTCCACCAGAGTCTCCTGTACCACCAACTCCTCCAACAGGGTCTCCTTCTGTATCTCCAACTCCTCCACCAGCGTCTCCTGTACCACAAACTCCTCCACTAGGGTCTCCTGTACCACCAACTCCTCTACCAGCGTCTCCTCAAGTACCACCAACTCCTCCACCAGAGTCTCCTGTACCACCAACTCCTCCACCAGAGTCTCCTGTACCACCAACTCCTCCACCAGCGTCTCCTGTACCACCAACTCCTCCACCAGCGTCTCCTGTACCATCAACTCCTCCACCAGCGTCTCCTCAAGTACCCAAACTCCTCCACCAGCGTCTCCTCCTGTACCACCAACTCCTCCACCAGGGTCTCCTCCTGTACCACCAACTCCTCCACCAGAGTCTCCTTTGTACCACCAACTCCTCACCAGAGTCTCCTCTCCTCCAGCACCACCAGCTCCTCCACCATGGTCTTCTTCCTCCACAACCTTCAACTTCTCTTTAGAGGCCTGGGCGAGCAAGGAGGTATGGGCGCTGTGCCGGCTCCACTCTGTGAAGAGATGCGCACGACACCGTTCCAACTTCCTGCTCCAGCAGAAATCAGTCCCCCCCATCCCCCCCATCGTCTATGGGTGGACTAACTGTGTGCCGCAGAAGATTAACCCAGCTAATTAACAGTGCGCAATAATGCAGCATACCTTTGCCCACCATGAGTCTGGTTACAAAATGGGCATTAGTCTGGCGGTGTCTCAGTGGATGAAGGGCAACTTGGGAAAGATGTTGCCGCTTCATTATCTGTCCTCACCCAGAAACCAATTATGGAAAATAAATCCGTATATAACCGAATCTACACGTTCTCTTTGGCTGGAACTCACAGCCAGAGAGGACCTGGGTTTGATTCCCATACGTGGGCCACTTTTTCTGTGTGGAATGTGGAGTGTGTTCTACCAACCACCCTACCTGCCTGCCCCCCCCCCCCCCTGCATGGGTTCCCAGAATCAGAATCTTTCTTTAAACTGGATGAAGAGGAGTCTGATGAGCTATGAAGCTCTTCTTTCACAGATGTCCAGTCAAGTCACAGGGTCAGCAGGTTATAACAACAAACAAAACAAAAGGAGTCCAAAGTATACCAAAAAAGCGTATAAATACAAATGGCTTAAGTAAATAAAATCCTGTCAGTTTTTCAACACTAAATGCAAGCTTTTGCAACGCAGTGAAACAGCAACAAAAACAGCCTCACACCACACCAAGACAACACAATCCTTCAATAAAATTGCAAATTAAAATTTCACTTTCCATTCCTCTGGGTTTGGCAACTGAACCCTCACAAACACGCTGTGCAACCAGTGTTGGATGGACATCTCCACCAGTGTTGTAAATTGAACCTCCAAATAACTCAATTGGGATCGTACAGTAGCAGTACATTTGTTCTGTACTGCAAAATACTTGGCAGGACCCTCCTGAAAAAAGTATTGAGACTGAGTGAGGCTATTGCTGGATAAATAAGCGTAGAAGTAGTAGCAATGAAGATAACTAGATATTAAACACACACACAAACAGGAGCAGAGTCGTCCCCCAGGTACGGTGTACAGGGGTGGTGACCACCCCGGGCCCCGCGCTTTGGGGGGCCCTGCGGTTCGATGTCACGGTGTCAGGCGTAATACTTCCGTTTAACACGTAGGCTATCGCTCCAGATTGGCTCACAAGTGATGACATCACATTTATCACTCTATTTAAGACCGAAAGAGGAGGATTTCTCCACGATTCGTAAGCCCACACGGTGTAACTTGCTCCAGGCCCCGCACCCCCCTATAGACTGCCATGACCACTGGACAAGCAGATGGTGGCTTACCGTCGCTCAGCAGCTCCAGAGTGCTTCACACTGCCAGGAGCAGCAGCGGTGGTGGTGGTGGCTTTGCTGGCCGTGGTGGTGCTGGTGGCCGCAGTCCGGAGCCAGTTATGAGCCAGCGCCTGCACTGGCGTCATACGACAATTCGGATCCCATCTGTTGAGAGATGCACGGGGGACACACGCGGCCACGTGGTGAGAGAGGCATGGTGAGAGCTTTGATGTTCCTTCCCTTCTCCCACGAGGTCCAGGAATGCACAGCAGCAGCGGAAGCCACAGTAGCAGTGGCAGTCCTCTGATGCCCAGCAGCGGCTTGGACAGACCTCCCACTCCTCTACAGAGGGCTAACTCCACAGAGGGCCAGTGGTACCGCTTATTGGCAGGTCCACTCAGCTCCACATCTTCCTGGTGATCGGTGGAGAGCGGTCGCCAATCAATTGGAGGGGGGAATCCTCGTGGGAGGGGGTGGGAGTGGTGGGTGGTTCTTACCGCAAACAGGAGCTGATGAATTTGACAAACTCCGGGTCATCGCTTTTGAGCACCCTGTGAAGTGGGAAGCTCCCCGGAACCCTTTTCTTGCCTGGGCAGAACATCTTCCCCCGATGGTCTGCAGGAGCCATGCACAGCGGAAGAGACGAAGTCACCAACCACCACATCGCCCATCTACCCACTTACTGACCGATTCATCAACCCACTCATCCACCTACCCACCCATACACTCTTCCACCTACCCAATCGCTCACTCACCTATCCACCTACCCACGCACCCACCCACTCATCTACCCACCCACTCACCCACCCACCCACCCTCTCACTGATCCACTCACCCACCCACTCACCTATTCGCCCAATAACCCACCAACCTACTCGCCTACTCACCCACATACCCATCCACTTGCCCACACACCCATTTACCCACCCACACACCCAAGTAATGTAAAAAACAAAGACGCCCCCTCCAAAACTAAATAACAACAGCCTGAGGCCACTCCCTAAAACTGAATCCGGTCTGTCATTCACCCACGCTTCAACTCACCAAAGAACTGCGTTCTGTCGGGTGCTCCATTCACCATGTACCTTGGAGGCATCCCCAGAATCTGCACATGGTTGACATGAAGACAAAGGTCACCCGTATAGCTTCGGCACACTGTCGGGACAAGTGCTGTCAGATCGAGTAGCAAAATTAGCAGCGTTTGTTGAGGGCCAGCACTGTGGCACACAGAGACAGGAGTGGCGGCTGATTTCAGCCGCATCATCTCTACATAACAAAAAGGCTCAGTCCCTTTTACACGCACCTTTACATCATCCGCACCTAGTTTACACAACAAAGGCTCATTCCTAACAGCGTGCTTCAGCCGCACCGAACATCACAAAAATAATATTCAGGGCCTACCTTGGCTCCTCCCACCCTCAACCAGTATATATACAAGGACTGTTTCTTGGAATTTCTCTCACTTGATACAGCTATCGTGCTGTGAATGTTCCACCTGAAGACGGAGGCTTGTGTTGCCTCCGAAACGTCGTGATTTTTATTTTATTTTTATTTAACTTTTATTAATTTTTTATTTTTTACCTACGTGACTTTACCGAAAAAACCTAAGAATATGAATCCTTGCAGTCACGAAAGCTTCAAATCTAGAATTGACCCAGGTACTTTACACACTCCACCAGGTACTCAGTTGAGGCTGTCTCGAACTAGAGGAGGCCCAGGACCAGTTCAGACAATCGTCCACTGGTGTTGCCCATGAGCTGGAATCAAACTCAGTTTCTAGCACAGCAGGCTGACCGCTACACTACCGCTCCCCCACACAAACAAGACACACACGTGTACACGCAACATACGACGGCCGGTATTCACAGATCACCAATTGGCCACCCCCCCTCCTGCCACCACCATAGCCCACGACTCCAAGGAAAGAGAGGGAGATCACGAGCGGACAGACGCCGTGTGGGAAATACCTCTATGCAGCGCGGGAGGTGATCTTCGTGGCTGTTGGACCGGAATAATTCCCTGCCCGTCGCCAACTCAGCCACCGTGCAGCCCAGCGCCCACATATCCACTCCACATGTCAAGCTATAGCCCAGCAACAGCTCCGGAGCCAAGTATTCTAGGGTCCCACCAACATTCATAGCTGTACAAAAATCACAAGGACAACATATGTGCGTGTGTACACACTGTGTCTTAAACAGCATCATCGTCATGCACATAAACAGTCACATGTACAGACACTCAGATACTCACACACAGACACACTCAGACAGACACTGACATATAGACACTCACACGGACGCAGAGAGACCCATGCATAAAGACAGCCATACAGACACCCACACGCAGACACTCACACACCCAGGTGAGGTCACTCACGTTGACTTTCCACAAAAAAGCTCGTGCCAAAGTCCGTGATCCTCACGGTGCCAGTCACGGTGTCTTTGACGAGAACATTTTCCTGGAGGAGGGGGAGAATGAATTAAAACTCAGAGGTTATGCCGATATTCAGCTAGCAGTGGATCAATCACATACCACGACACACGCTAAACAGGGGAACTAGATGAGGCATAGCGCTGTCGACAAGCGTCAGTCAAGTGCAATATTCGCTGTTTCCTGACAGCTGTCACTGGGCGGTGCCCCTTTTAAATGTGTCAAAATTAAATTTCGATTTAAAGCTTCTTTCGTGACTGCAGGGATTCATCTTCTTGGTTCTTTCGGTAAAGTCACGTAGAAGGGAAGTAATAAAATAATAAAAATAAAACATAATAAAACAATTCTCACGATGTTCATGCCACAACGCAAGCAGCAGTCATCAGGTGACCTGGTTTTCACCTGAGGACGGTTTCTTGCGTTGTGGCCGAAACTTCGTGAGATTTGTTTTATTATGTTTTATTTTTATTATTTTATTACTTCCGTTCTACGTGACTTTACCGATGGAGCCAAGAAGATGTGTCAAAATTGTAGATGTGAGTAGAGGCGTGTCACGTTCAAAGCACTCTCAGGCACCATCAAAGTGAAGGGGGGTGGCTCTATTGACAACCGATTGCCGTTGCTCCAACAGGAAAGCTGCATGGAGCTCACAGCTGGATGAGTGCCCGTTAACGAGTTACAGACAAAAAGCCACGCACAAGAGAGTGCACGGATTCTGTGACGCTTTCCACTGCACCTTTGTCTTAGGCCTTTTATCAATTTGCAAATCGGAATTCGATAACGAGCAGTTGTCAGGCCAAAATGCACATTCCGCACGTTTTGAAAATTGTTCTTTTTGACTCCCAGGGTTTGGGCAACGCTGATCAACGTTGCCGGTTTTCTCCCTGGTGAGTCCCCAAGAGCGACACGACTCTACACTATAGTTTAATTCATAACAGATCACATTCACCAGAGGAGCATGGCCCTGCCTCCTTCCAGTGAGATGGGCAGAGCTAACGTTTCGACCCTGTGACCAACATGGCCGTTTTTTTCTGTGGAACGAGTCCCCAATAAAGATACACCTCTGCACCAAAGTGAAAGCTGAACGCTGTGTCCACTCACTGGCTTGATGTCCGCGTGGACGATTTTCCTGGAATGTATGTGGCGCAAGAACTTGAGGATGCCCCTGGTGTAGGTTTTCACCATCGCCATGTCCAACCGCCGGAGCCCCGCATTCCTAATCACTTCATGAAGGCTCTCCCTGTGAGAGAGGCAGAAGCAGCAACAAAAACACGGCATCAGTACCATCCCCTACAATGCTGCACTGATTCTGATAACGATAATCATGATAATTGTTTTTTTACCCTTCTATCTGGCAACAAAACTGACAACTTTTTACAAGGAGTCATGGTTGCATAGACCGCAATACCTGCAGTCATAATACAAACAAAAGTTACGTCTTTGGCTGCAGTCATAATACAAACAAAAGTTATGTCTTTTGTTTGTATTATGACTGCAGGTATTGCGGTCTATGCAAACATGACTCCTTGTAAAAAGGTGTCAGTTTTATTGCCAGATAGAAGGGTAAAAAACCAATTATCATATTTTTACTGGCAAATGAGGTTCCCATGGTGTAAACGATAATCATGTTTATATTGTACGTTCATGTGCACGTTTATGACCAATATTAAGAGTTATAGTTCCGTGTGGGATGAGGTCGTCAATTTGCCGATAAACCAAATCAGTTGGCATATCTGCCCACTTGACAACTTGATTTCATTGGCTTTGTTGCCGGGTGGTGGAGGGTTATCCATTGGGAGAAGATAAAAACTCCACACAGAACAGAAGCTCGGGATTTTCGCCGAGAGGCACAAGCATCACCACTGCCATGCAGCCACCCTGCTGATTGAGTGGAGGCGTGGGTTGGTGAAAGTGGCAGGGCTAATGGAGAAAAGACAAGTGGCCTCCAATGCACCCGTGGCACATGGCAGCTCCACAGGATTACAATGCATGGGTGGTGGCGTGGGCATCTCAACATTAACAGCTTACTCTGTGGTTCTTTCGGTAAAGTCACGTATAAAGATAAAATAATAAATTAAATAATAACATACGGCGTTTCGATTGCAACACAAGCAATCATCAGGTATAAATGAAATGAAATAGCAACAAGAATCTAACCAGAAAACTATAGACAGACATATAAGCAGACAGATATCACCAAGATACAGATGTCTGTCTATAGTTTTCTGGTTAGATTTTTGTTGCTATTTCATTTATACCTGATGATGATTGCTTGTGTTGCAATTGAAACGTCGTATGCAATTATTTAATTTATTATTTTATCTTTATACGTGACTTTACCGAAAGAACCAAAGAGTAATTCCTGCAGTCACGAAAGCTCCAAAATTAAGAATTAACAGCTTGCCGCGGTGGCGAGATGACATCTCCCCCGCCTGGTATGGAGGAGGTCCTAGGTTTGATCCCGACCGTGATGCCTGTACATTTGGAGTTTGCATGTTCTCCCCGTGGGTACGTGGATTTTTCTGTGGGTCCACTCGTTTTCCCCTCCACATTTATAATCAAAATGCTACTTTTCGATTTAAAGCTTTTGTGACTGCAGGGATTCATCTTCTTGGTTCTTTCGGTAAAGTCACGTAGAATGGAAATAATAAAATAATAAAAATAAAACATAATAAAATAATTCTCACGACGTTTCGGCCACAACGCAAGCAGCCGTCCTCAGGTGAAGAACAGGTCTGTCGGGGAGACAGAGTCTGTCTACGTGACTTTACCGAAATAACCAGGAACAAAAATGCTACTTTGTTAAGCTTTTATTTGTGGTCTGGTCGCTTCTAAAAAATAACGAAAGTTTGTTAAGTTAGTTAACCACGTTATTGGCGGAGGGGGGGGGGGCATGCAGTACATACTTCAACAGCTCCATGACGATACAGTAGTGTCCTCTGAAATGAAATATGTTCAGGACTTTGATGACGTTGAAATCTTCATCACTGCCCTCGTCCTGAAGTTCCAGAGCTATCTGGAGCTCCATCTTCTGGTATGTTTCTTGCTTGGAGCTGCACAGAGGAAGTCCACAAATGAAGAGCCTACATTTACTTAAGGGATATCCAGAGCCAAATTCTACTTACAATAAAATAATTAAATATGAATTCACCAGGTCTAACAGCACCAGGGGTTCCAGTAGCACACTCGACTATCATTGGTGAGGAGCTCCCACAGAGGGAGCAGGAGCCGACGTAGGGCACCCAATAGGATTTGGAAGTGAAGAACCATTCAAATCGGATTGGTCATTTGAGAAATCTAAATGCAAACGCATGTTAACACAACGCATTCTCACTTCAATATGCCTCTTCCATTCGGGCACACTTTTCGCATAACGCGGAATGTGCCCGTAATAACACGAACGCGCCCATTGCAACACGGAACGCTTCTCATAACGTAGAACACGCCTGTTAAAGCACGGAACCCGCCCGTTATAACACGATCTGTGAGTAGTCGACAACAAACTACTTTCTTGAGCTGCAATGATACATTACTCGCAATGATAAAGTAACGTGACGGCATACCCTCAGTTATTTGTCTCGTCATCTCAAGGTGTATGAGTGCATTGTATCTCGCCAAACATTATTATTACATTATTTATGGGGAAATTACTTTCGCTCAATACTTTTTTGCTGAACGCGGAACTTTTCAGGAATGTATCTACAGCATTAAATGAGGAATTCCCGTAATGTGCAGGTAATCTTTCAGCAATGGGATGTTTTGCCCCAATATTAGTTTACACTGTGTGTGTGTATTTTAAGCTTTAGGAAGGAAAAATCTGAGAACCCAGAAGGAACTGATGCAGAACAGGGGTAGAACATGCAAACTCCATACAGCAGAGCACCCGAATCAGGAGTCGAACCCAGGCCCCCCTTCTCGCTTTGATGTACGAGTGTCACCGCTGCATCGCACGGCTGCCCATGGCAACGGACTTAACAACAATATCGGCCTCGTGACGGTGCGGCTCTGAAGTCTTACCTCGATGGTGACACCAGGATCTTGATGGCCACCAGGATGTTCCTTTTGTGATCAAGGCACTGGATCACCTGGCCTTGACCTCCTTCTCCAATCTTCTTCAGCACCTCATAGCGATAGCGGAGGTGCTCATGCCGGAACTGCACAAAAGGTACAATCGTTTAAAGTGAATATAATTAAAATCACAAAGTTTAAGAAGCGAGAATGTATATTCTTTGGAATATGCAAATTCCTTTGTCAAGGCGCTCTTCCCCCTCCAACCCAGATTAAATATACGCTGCCAAGCCTGGTGGTGTTTCATTCAGACGCTGTCTTTCTGACAGACCTGTTCTTCACCTGAGAACGGCTGTTTGCGTTGTAGCCGAAACGTCGTGAGAATTATTTTATTATGTTTTATTATTTTATTATTTCCCTTCTACGTGACTTTACCGAAAGAACCAAGAAGATCTTTCGGTAAAGTCACGTACATAGATTGAAAGAAAATAACAAAAAACAATCACGGGTTGCCGGGTGAAAATGATCATGTTAATGACAGTTTAGTATGTTAATGGGATATTGCAGAGCCACAACCGAGGGGTCGGCACTCAAAGTGGCTGTGTTAGTGTGAAAGCGCAAGTTTGAAATGGGCAAAAAGCACAACTATCATCAGAAGGTGGTAGGATGGGAAGATCACAGCCAGTTATGACTTAAACTGGTTGATAATGTCCTTCCAATGATTACTCAGTTTGCACCCATCTTCTCGGTTTAAATTGTGTCTGTGTCGATTAAAATGGATGGCTTCATGAATGAATCTTTGTTGATAGCCAGTGGGCTTGCAAAGTACCTTCGTCTTAGAGAAATACATTTCATGTGAGCCCACCGCATTAAAACAATGATCAGCCACGGCTGAGGTATTGGTCCTACAGTGTTTCAGATCCTACCTAGTTTCGGATTTGACTTATGTTCACGAACATCAGGCAGATCTGAAACTGTCGGGTTTGCTGTCCACCACTTGCATTAATATTGGCTGCTGACATTTGGGCAATGCCCATTTCAAACCCTAATAAACAGTTTGCCTTTGGAAGCAAACCCCCCTTTTCCTGAAGTCGACCGATTTTGTTGCGATTGAAACGTTGTAGTTTTAGTTTTTTGTTATTTCTTTGAACCTATCTACGTGACTTTACCGAAAGACCCAAAAAATATTAATTCCTGCAGTCACGAAAGCTTTAAGTCAAGATTTAAGTGAGAATGTAATTTTCTAATATATTTTCTGTAATGATTACGTTTTTTTAAATCTGTCATTGTGGAATGTTCTGATGTCTGCTGGCTCAGTCACCCTTCAAAATAGAGCTTCTTAGCTCAATGGGATTTACTCGCAATAAAAAATTCTGATTCTGAAGTACATTGGTGTGTGTGATAGCCCTGGTTGGTACTTCAGGTGCAATAACAAGAAGCCACAAACCACGCTACCGATGGGCCCTGTGACTGCCCCCACAGCTGGTGTTTTGTTGCGAGCCTCACCAGAATGTAATTTCGTTCGTAGTCGTCGTATCCATCATTGTTGAATCCCTGAGATTTGTTGAAAAGTGCAAAGTACCACACTTCCTGCATGGCTGCGAGTTCTAGCTTCTCACGGTTGGTCAAGTGAGGGCCAAAGAGAGCCAGGATTTCTGCAGACATGAGAATAACAACATCTGTGTGATCGCAAACTTGAGCAATTTGTAGGAAAATATTACAGGATTGGGATGTTTTGGCCAATACCAGTTATGTCTGTATGTATGTTGAACTTCTTTTGCACCGTACGTAGGCAATGGTGCCAAATGGATACGCGGGGGAAGGAAAATTATTCTAAACATGAAAAGTTCTAAAGAAAGTAGTTTTCAATCTAGATGATTTAAAAGTGTATAGCTCCAGTGGCTTCCTAATATCGGAAGTGCATCTGAAAGCGTGTGATGTGCTGAGGCCAGAGCACACATAATCACCCCCATGCAACATGGCCACCATGATGCAGTCCCCCATGCAACATGGCTACCATTAAGTTCCGCATGCAACACTGCCAACATGAAGTCCCCCATGCAACATGGCTACCTAGATATCACCCATGCATCATGGCCGCTATGAAATCTCCAATGCATCACGGCCACTGACATCCACCATGCAACATGGCCGCTATGAAATCTCCAATGCATCACGGCCACTGTGACATCCACCATGCAACATGGCCGCTATGAAATCTCCAATGCATCACGGTCACTGTGACATCCACAATGTAACATGGCCGCTATGACATCTCCAATGCATCACGGCCACTGTGACATTCACCATGCATCATGGCCGCTATGAAATCTCCAATGCATCACGGCCACTGTGACACTGACCATGTAACATGGCCGCTATGAAATCTCCAATGCATCACGGTCACTGTGACATGCACCATGTAACATGGCCGCTATGAAATCTCCAATGCATCACGACCACTGTGACATCCACCATGCAACATGGCCACTATGAAATCTCCAATGCATCACGACCACTGTGACATCCACCATGTATCATGGCCGCTATGAAATCTCCAATGCATCACGGTCACTGTGACATCCACCATGTAACATGGCCGCTATGACATCTCCAATGCATCACGGCCACTGTGACATGCACCATGCATCATGGCCGCTATGAAATCTCCAATGCATCACGGCCACTGTGACATCCACCATGTAACATGGCCGCTATGAAATCTCCAATGCATCACGGTCACTGTGACATGCACCATGTAACATGGCCGCTATGAAATCTCCAATGCATCACGGTCACTGTGACATGCACCATGTAACATGGCCGCTATGAAATCTCCAATGCATCACGGTCACTGTGACATCCACCATGCAACATGGCCGATATGAAATCTCCAATGCATCACGGTCACTGTGACATCCACCATGCAGCATGGCCGCTATGAAATCTCCAATGCATCACGGTCACTGTGACATCCACCATGCAGCATGGCCGCTATGAAATCTCCAATGCATCACGGCCACTGTGACATCCACCATGCAACATGGCCGCTATGAAATCTCCAATGCATCACGGCCACTGTGACATCCACCATGCATCATGGCCGCTATGAAATCTCCAATGCATCACGGTCACTGTGACATCCACCATGCAACATGGCCGCTATGAAATCTCCAATGCATCACGGTCACTGTGACATCCACCATGCATCATGGCCATTGTGATGTTCCACCATTCACCATGGCCCTCTGTGACGTCCCTCATTACTGTCCTTACCTTGCGGTGATTTGCTGCAGATGGAGGCGTTGCCCTCTGAGGACAGCGCACTCCACGTGGTGCAAGATTCGCCCTTACTCCTCGCCTCTCCACCTCGGCTCATCTACACACACACAAAGACAAAGGTCCACCACGTAAACTTTAGCAAGATGTTGGGGAAAGCGCAGGAGGCGAGCACTGAGCCAGGATCTCTGAGATCCCGGGCTCCACAATCAGGAGGGTCCTGCCAAGATGTTGTGTCAGTTCTCAGCGTTGGGATATTTGGTCAATATCTGATGTCACACTTGGATTTACAATGAGACACGTGTGGCATCCTTCAAACTGATAAGATAAGTGGGGCTGGGCCAGGACATGCCACGGCCAGGAGGAACAACGATGGCCGATGGTCAAGAAGAATAACGGAGCTGCAGCCAAGTATCGGAGCACGTTTGAGAGGACAGCTTCCAGAAAGATGGAGCGACAAAATCGGTGCTTGGTGGATTATGCCATTGCAGGATCATGAGGGGTAGCAGGAACTCAGGGAAGGAGGCCTTCATCCAGTAGTGGATAATAAAAGTACTGTAGATTATTCACGTGTAGACAGGCAGGTACACAGACAGGATCTCGGGGGAGATACTCTGATAGATGCACACACACTCAGGCAGGCAAGTAGATGTACACTCAGGTATATGGATAGGCGACAGGTAGCCTCACGCAGAGTGGAGAGCACACGTCCATCAATACTTCACCACACGAGTCGAAGAGCCACACGTACCTCCATGGTAGCAACTTGCAGAGCAGGGTGCAAAGATCTCACAGCGTCTCTCGCACAGTCCGGGTCTCTGCGTGCGGAGCAGGAGACGAAGGCGAGGATCACAAAGAGTCGAGAGGGCGTGAGGGCTCCCAGATCTCAACATGAGTCACAACGCGGGCTTACATCCTCACCATGAACCCACATTGTCAACACAGACTCACATCATCACCACTCACAACACGAAATACAAAAACAACAACAACCGACATTCGCCACTAAGTAGGGGTGATGACACCACGGCACCTGTGCCGGGCCAGGTGCACTTTTAGTCCACGTGAAGTGTCGAAGGCTGACAAGACGTCACGGGATAGACCCAGGTTCCAAAGGTTGGCTGAGATGACTGGTAGATACACCAGCTGTATCCCCAACTGTGCCAACTTGTTGAATTTTATCCGCTACTCGTTGTGAGCGTCACTCCTCTGTCCTCAGTTGTTGTTGGAAGGCGACTGCCTCCTACTGCCCGGTAGGATCCTTCACGAGCTTCCTCGTGAAGGATGCTATCCACACCACTGATACCAGTCTTCTGCAAGTCCACTCAGCTCCACATCCTCCCATACAGCATCAGTCCATATTTTGACAGCCCATGTCGTGCCCGTTTAGCCCCCTTTATGCAACCAAAATAAACTGCTTGGGTATGCGGTCTACAAGACCCAGCCAATGCAGCCTTGCCTGCCGGACGAACTTACTGGTGGGAATGTCTCCAGATCTTTCAAGCATTTGTGAGCCCCTCACACAATCCAGCCTGGTTAAACCCAGGATGGATCGTACAATCAACAACACCACCATCACCAACAATACCACCAACACCACCACCACCACCACCAACAAGACTATCACCACCATCAACACCATAACCAAAAACATCACCAATACCACCCCCATCAACATCACCTCCATCAACACCACTAACATCACCACAACCAACACCACCACCAAGACCACCAACACGACCACCAATAACACCACAATCAACAACACCACCATCAACACCACGAACACCAACAATACCACCACCATCAACACCACCAACACCAACACCACCACCAAGACCACCAACACAACAACCACCAACACCACAATCAACAACACCACCATCAACACCACCATCAACATCACCAACACCACCACCAACACCACCACCAACACCATCACAAACACACCAACACGACCACCACAACCACCAACAACACCACCATCACAAACAACACCACCAAGACCACCACCAACAACACCACCAACTCCACCAATACCACCACCATCAACACCACCAATACCACCACCATCAACACCAACAACACCACCACCACTAACAACAAAGATAAAGATCCCCCTTATAGCTGCATTAGACTGTTGGGGCAAGTGCTGTTAGCCAGCAGTACCTATGAAGGGCAGAACGGCACACGAGGGGGTGGGTGGCCAGCACCACGCCCGGCCGCCTTTGTGTTTACACACACACAGACTCACACACACACAGACTCACACACACACAGACTCACACACTCAGACTCACACACACAGACTCACACTCACACAGACTCACACACACGCAGACTCACACACACGCAGACTCACACACACGCAGACTCACACACACGCAGACTCACACACACACAGACTCACACACACACAGACTCACACACACACACAGACTCACACACAGACTCACACACACACAGGCTCACACACACACAGACTCACACACACACAGACTCACACACACACAGACTCACACACACACACAGACTCACACACACACAGACTCACACACACACACAGATTCACACACACACAGACTCACACACACACAGACTCACACACACACAGACACACACACACACAGACTCACACACACACAGACTCACACACACACAGACTCACACAACAACAACAACAACCGCCATTCGCCACTAAGTGGCGGTGACGTCACCACGATGCTTGTGCCAGGCCAAGTGCACCTTGAGGCCACGTGAAGTGTCGAAAGCCCGCTGGCAGGAGGTCACGGGGCAGACCCAGGTGCCACTGGTCGACTGACCGAGATGACCGAGATGACTGGCTGATGCACCACCTGTGCCATCTACTGTGCCAACTTGCTGTGCTTTAGCCACCCGGCGCTCCGCTCGTTGTTGTGAGCGTCGCTCCTCCGCCCTCCGTTGTTGTTGGAGGGCGACTGCCTCCAACTGCCCAGTAGCGTCCTTCACGAGCCTCCTCCACTGAGGCCGATCTTGACACCGCTGGTACCAGTCATCGGCAAGTCCACTCAGCTCCACGTCCTCCTGTACCACATCACTCCATCTCTTCTCCAGCCCGTGCCGCGCCCGTCTAGCCCCCTCGATCCGGCCGAACAAAAGCTGTTTAGGCATGCGGTGGCTGGGCATGCGGGCTACATGACCCAGCCAACGCAGCCTTGCCTGCCGGAGGAGCTCACTGATGGGACTTTGCCCAGATCTTTCAAGGATTTGTGAGCTCCTCACACAATCCAGCCTGGTTAAACCCAGGATGGATCGTAGGCAGGCCAGCCTAAATGTTTCCAACCGGCGAAGATGCTCCACCAGGGGGGTCCACGTCTCGCAAGCGTAGAGAAGGGAGGGAATGACCGTGGCCGAGAAGACCTGAAGCTTCGTGCGGAGCGACAGACCAGGTAGCTTCCACACAGCGTTACGCAACCGATGAAAAGATATTGCCGCTCGACTGATTCGGAGTGAGACCTCTGCTGATAGACTGGAGCCGGTCATAAGCATACTGCCCAGGTATGGGAAACTCTCCACTCTCTCCACAACTGCCCCATCACCAATTGGGAGTTGTGGGGGTGGAGTGTCCGATGGTACAAAATACCCAGGCAGGTGCTTGGTTTTGGTGGGGCTGATGGTAAGGCCCCACCTCTTAGTGGCACGCTCCAGTCTCAGCAGCAGCGCCTCCAACTCCTCTTCTGAATGAGCAGCTATTACCAAATCATCGGCATACATAACGTGGTTGACCAATAGGGAGCCATCCCTTGATCGCACCCGGGCGTCGATCAGACTCAGACTCACACACACACAGACTCACACACACACAGACTCACACACACACAGACTCACACACACACAGACTCACACCATTTCTCACCTTCGCCAGATGCTCCCCCGACTCTCTAACGGACAAACTGCCTGAGGGAGACACGAGGGGGCGGTACCAAGTGACCACGCCCACTATGACGTCGCAGACCTAAGCTCCTCCCACCCACCGGAGCTCCTCCCCCCACCGGAGCCCCTCCCCCCCATGCCCAACCCCTCGCCCCGCCCCTTCACCCCCCTCGCCCCGCCCCTCCCCCCGCTGCTACTTCCGCTGAGGCCGGGGCGAGTGGAGGCGGCGCTGTGCATTGTGGGTGGCGAGCGGACGGTTTGGATTCCCGCTCGCGGCCACCGTCGGCGGCTCGCTGGCTGGGCCTCCTCTAGGTCGACTCAGCCCGAACAAGGCGAGCACCTTGCACGCTGTGGACGCAGCAGCAGCAGCAGTGGCGGTGGTGGGGGGGGGCAGAGGAGGCGCCTGCTGAGTTCACGGCCCTGCTGCTGCTGATGATGATGAGGAGAGGCACTGCCAGATTGTGGCTGATGGGATGAGTTACATTTAGTTGTTTGTGTCTCTGGAGGGGCGGATTTGTTGTCGTGGCAGAAATGGCCTCGACTAGAGGCCGCGATGTGGAGTGTTTGGTCTACTCTTCCACGCTGGGCGTGCCCGCACTTTACCCCGATACACACGCGGGGCGTGAGCTCACTGGGCTTGCAATGCAGAGGTGCAGGTTCGAGTCCATTTCACACTCAGCCACTCGGCCACTCACTCAGTCACTCATTAACTCACCTACTCAGCCACTCACCCACTCAGCCAATCACTCAGCCAACTCAACCACCCACTCAGCCACTCACCCACCCACTCACCCACTCAGCCACTCACTCAGCCACTCACTCAGTCACTCACTCACCCACTCAGCCACTCACTCACCCACTCAGCCACTCACTCAGCCACTCACTCAGCCACTCACCCACAGAGGGATAACGACCCTTCATGCAGTGGTTGTGTAGTATCTGCGTCAACGTTTTTGTTGTTTGGTTATGGTGGTGGCTATGGTGGTGGTTATGGTGGTGGTTGTGGTGGTGGTTATGGTGGTGGTTATGGTGGTGGTTGTGGTGGTGGTTGTGGTGGTGGTGGTTGTGGTGGTGGTTGTGGTGGTGGTTGTGGTGGTTATGGTGGTGGTGGTTATGGTGGTGGTTATGGTGGTGGTTATGGTGGTGGTGGTGGTTGTGGTGGTGGTTGTGGTGGTTATGGTGGTGGTGGTTATGGTGGTGGTTGTGGTTATGATCATGGCTTTAGTTTTGGTTGTATCGGTGGTTGTAGTGGTGGTGGAGGTTGCAGTTGTGGTGTAGGTGGTTATGTTGGTTGTTATGGTAGTTGTGGCTCTGGTTGTGGTGCTTGTGGTGGTTTAGGTTGTGATTATAATTGTGGTTGTGTAATTTGTGGTTATATGTGCGGCTGTGGTGTTTGGTTATATTTGTTATAATTGTGTAGGTTGGTTGTAGTGGTCATAGTTGTGGTGTAGGTGGTTACGATGGTTGTTATGGTAGTTGTATTTTGAACTTCAATTGCACCCTACCCAGCCGACCGTGCTAATTGGAGGTATGATTATCGTTGCGGTTATTTATGGTTGTTTTGGTTTTAGTTGTGGTGGTGATTGGTTGGTGCAGGTGCTGGGATGAAGGATGCGTTCCGTGTCCTCTGCCCATGCGGCTCCAACAACGATTGCTCCAGCCAGCACTGCCGCCCCTGTGGTCACATGACCTTGCCTCCCAGCATACCTTGCAGGTCGTCATTGATTCTGGGCCATCTTTACCTCCTGCATCTCTATAGGAGCTCTCGCTTCCTCCACACACTCTCCTCCTACCTCTGCTCGCTCTCCCCGTGTCTCCATCCCCCCTCTTCTTTCTGGATGGTCCAGGTTCAGGGGTCAGGAGTTGACTGGCTGCACTCTGACCTTTGACCTTGGCTGTCACCCGAGTGGGATTATCTAACAGCAGTCAACCCATAGTATCAGGATCTGTCCCGTGACCTCCTCCTATACCTAGCCTGGAACAGCAGTCAACCTGTGGCACCCAGATCTGTCCTGTGACCTCCTCCTGCGGCACCTAGCCTGGCACAGCAGTAAACCCATGGCACCTGGGTCTGTCCCATGACCTCCTCATCCTGCAACTAGCATGGCACGTAAGTAAACCCATGGCACCTGGTTTGTTGTGATGACATTACCGCCACGTAGTGGCGAATTGCGGCCATTGTCGTTGTGAGTTTGTGGGCTTGTGTGTGAGTAATGGTGATTGAGTGTGTGACTATCATGTCGTGTGCGTGTGAGTTGGATGGTAGGGGTGTGTTTATGAGGGTGAGTGTGTGTGGGTGTGTGAGTATCATGGTGAGTATGTGAGTGATGGTATGTGACAGTGTGAGTTTGATGGTGATTGTATCATGGTGAGTGCAAGCAATACTGTGAGCTTGACTTATTTCCCCCCCCCTCCCTTTACCCACTCTTCCTCCCTCTCCCTGCCCTCCCCTCACTCTCCCCCAACCCTCTACTTCCCTGCCTCTATCCCTCTCGGCGTGGCCGAGTGGTTACTTCTAAAGAATTATGGAACTCTTTATCCCTCTCCTTTCTCCCGTAACTACCTCGCCTGTTATACAGGAGATCGTGGGTTTGATCCCTACCCTCACATCTGCTATATATTTCGAGTTTGCATGTCTCTCTCTCCCCGTGGTCGCGTTCAGAGTGTTTGGTTTCTATAAATGTCGACGTGATGATAGGCCACTTCGTTGACCTATCATTTGTGGCATTTTCCCGTCTGAAGAAGAGCTGTGTAGCACGGTGGGCATTACCTGGAAAAATTTAAATAGTTTAGTTTCCTCTTTTCCTCCTCCCTTCCTCCCTCTCCACACCCATCCCCCCCAGCACAACAACAAGAAGCAGGAGGAGGATGGTTTGTTTCCCAAGCCGAGCACTTCCGGGTCCACCTTCATGATCCTCCCTCTGCCCCGGGGGTGGGGGCGGGGAGATCCCCTTGAACAGGGTTACGGTACCCCACCCACATACATACGGGGTTGCGGTGCCCCCACTACACATACGCACAGGGGTACGGTACCCCCCACTCACATGCCAGGCTATGTGCACCACACAGAGACCCAAAGACTCGCACATAGATCCATAGACTCGCATAGACCCATTGACTCACACAGAAACCAATTAACTCAAACAAAGACCCGTCGAAACACGGACAATATATTTACACAAAGACCCATAGACTCATACAGACTCATCCACTTGTGCACCCACCCACTCAACGACTCACAGGCTTACTCGCTCACCCAATCTCTCACCTACTCAGCCACTCACTCAGAAACTCACTCAAGAACTCGCTCACCCATTTACCCACCCATTTGCTCACCCACTCGTGCATCCACTCACAGAATCACTCGTAAACTCACTCACTCACACGCTCAGAAACTGACTCACAAAAGAATTCACCCACTCACTCGTGCACTCACTCGCCCACTTACCCATGCATGCACAGATTCACCCACTTACTTACTCGTTCACAGACTCCCTCTCTGATAGACTCGCTCATAGACTCACTTGCTCACAGACTCAATCACTCACAGACTCACTTAGAAGCTCTCACCCACTAACTTATTCATAAATTCACTCAACTACCGACCCACTTACTTAAAAACTACTTCACTTATCCGCACCCACTCGCTGACCTACTTATTCATCCACTCGCTCAGCCACTCACTGACCAACTCACTCACAGACTCAGTCGCTCACTCATCCACTCACTCCGAAACTCATTCATCCACCTACCACTCAATAATTTCATTCATTCACTCATCCACTCACTCAACCATTCACTCATTCAACAACCCACTCACTCACCCACTCACTTGGAGACTCTCTCACCCACTCACTCACCTACTCGCCCAGTCTATTAGCCACTCATTCAGAAACTCACTCACCTACTCACTCACCCACAATCGATCAATCACTCATATACTAAATCACCCACCCACACACACACTCACCCACTCTTCCACTCACTTAAGAACCCACTCCCTCAACCACCAACTTAGAATATCACTCCTCCACTCACCTACCCATTTACTCACCCACTCGCTCACCCACTCATTCAACAACTTTCTCACTCGTGGACTCACTTGCTTATCTACTCACTCATCCATTCACTCATCCACTCGCTCATCCACTCACTCACCCACTCGCTCACCCACTCGCTCACCTACTCGCTCACCCACTCGCTCACCCACTCGCTCACCCACTCACTCACAGACTGACTCAGAAACTCACTCATCCAAGCATTCACTCACTGACTCACTCACCCATTCATTTAACCATTCACTCACAGACTCACTCAGACGCACGAAGAAGCTCACTAACCCACTAACCGATTCAGAAACTCAGTCAACCACCAAATCACCTACTCAAAAACTCCTTTACTCATCCGCACTCACTCACTAACCTATCTACTCATTTACTCAATCAGCCACACTTACTCACTAACTCGCTCACTCATGCACTCAGAAAATCACTCATTCACTCACTTAGAAACTCCTACAATCACTGACCCACTCGCTCAAAAACTCACTCATCTACTCGCTCACTTTCTTATTTACTCACCCACTCCCTCACCAATTCACTCGTTTCCCCACTCATTCCTTCAGTCACTCACTCATTCAGCAACTCGGTCAATCATTATCTAATTCAATCACTCACCCATTCACTCGGAGACTCACTCGCTCACTCATCCTCCACTCACTCACCCACTAACCCACTCAGAAACTCATTCAGCTACTCACTCACCACTCATTTACCCACTCATCCACTCATTGAATAAATCACCTACTCGCCCACTTTCCTAACCACTCAATCAGAAACTCATTCACCTACTCACCCACACACTCACTCACCCACTTAAACTCGGGAGTGGGTGGTTTTAGAGTTCAGTGTTAATCATTGGGACTCCCATAGGGTTCAGTGTTGCTCACTGGGTCTCCCATAGGGTTGAGTGTTAATAAATGGGTCTCCCATAGAGTTCAGTGTTAATCACTGAGGCTCCCATCGGATTCAGTGTTAATCACTGGGTCTCCCATAGGGTTCAGTGTTAATCACTGAGGCTCCCATCGGGTTCAGTGTTAATCACTGGGGCACCCATAGGGTTCATTGTTAATCACTGGGCCACCCATAGGGTTCGGTGTAATCACTGGGGCTCCCATAGGGTTGAGTGTTAATCACTGGGTCTCCCATAGTGTTCAGTGTTAATCACTGGGGCTTCCATAGAGTTCTGTGTTAATCATTGGGGCTCCCTTAGGGTTAATGTTAATAACTGGGACTTCCATAGGGTTCAGTGTTAATCACTGGGGCTCCCATGGTGTTGAGTGTTAATCACTTGGTCTCCCATAGAGTTGAGTGTTAATCACTTATAGATTCGAAGCTTTCGTGACTGCAAGGATTCATACTTTTAGTTCTTTCGGTAAAGTCACGTAGGTAAAAAATGAAATTAAAATTTTTACCTACATGACTTTACCGAAAGTACTAAGAGTATGTTAATCACTTGGTCTCCCATAGGGTTCAGTGTTAATCACTGGGGCTCCCTTGGGGTTAATGTTACTCACTCCCATAGAGTTCGTTGTTAATTATAGATTTGAAGTTTTCGTGACTGCAAGGGTCCATATTCTTTGTTTTTTTCGGTAAAGTCACGTAGGTTACAAAATAAAATAAAAATAAATTAAATCACGACGTTTCGGAGGCAACACAAGCTTCCGTCTTCAGGTGGCACCGTCACAGCAGTAATTTTGCTGACGGTGCCACTTGAAGACGGAAGCTTGTGTTGCCTCCGAAACGTCGTGATTTCGTTGTTAATCACTGGGGCTCCCATAGGATTCAATGTTACACACTGAGTCTCCCATAGGGTTCAGTGTTAATCGTTGGGTCTCCCAAAGGGTTCATTGTTAATCACAGACCCATAGATTCCTAAAAACCTAACCCTATAAACACCTAAGCCTCTATACCCCTAACCCTCGAAACTCCTATACTCCGAAAACTATAATCCTCAAATCCCCTTCACCCTTAACACCCTAACCTTTTAATCCCTTAACCCTTAAACCCCTCACCCTCTAAACCCTTCACCCACTAAACCCCTCACCCTCTAAACCCCTATGCCTCTAAATCCAACCCCCTAACCCTTTGAACCCCTAACTTTCTCCAATCCCATAATAAAGGGTTTTTTTTTGCGGTAAGATCGTGTGAATATAAAGTGTCTTAAAACCCATCACCACACCGATACAGCCAATTAATAAAGTTTGTCACGTGAACAAAAAGTGCCAATTAGTTTCTACTTTAGCACATCGGTGTGTTGGAGACTAACCCAAATTAACCTTTATTATGAATAACCCCTCAACCCCATAACTCCCCCTGCGCCACCCCCCATGTCCCCCCTCACCCCCCTCACCCCCCCCAGCTGCTACTTCCGTTAAGGCCGGGGCAAGTGGAGGCGGCGCTGTGCATTGTGGGTGGCGAGAGGCTGATTTGGATTCCCTCTCACGGCCACCATTGGTGGTTCGCGAGCTTCTGAAGTGGCGGCTCGCTGGCTGGGCCTCCTCTACGTCGACTCAGCCAGAAGAATGTAAGAACCAAGCGCGGTGTGGACACATCAGCAGTGGCGCTGGTGGGGGGGAGACAAAGGAGTCACCTGGCCTACAAGGTGCCTCCTTTGTCTCCCTCCTCTCTCTCCCCGTGTCTCCCTCCTCTCTCTTCCCGTGTCTCACTCCTCTCTCTCCCCGTGTCTCCATCCTCTCTCCCCGTGTCTCCCTCCTCTCTCTCCCCGTGTCTCCCTCCTCTCTCTCCCCGTGTCTCCCTCCTCTCTCTCCCCGTGTCTCCCTCCTCTCTCTCCCCGTGTCTCACTCCTCTCTCTCCCCATGTCTCACTCCTCTCTCTCCCCGTGTCTCCCTCCTCTATCTCCCCGTGTCTCCCTCCTCTCTCTCCCCGTGTTTCCCTCCTCTCTCTCTCCCCGTGTCTCCCTCCTCTCTCTCTCTCTCCCCGTCTCTCCCTCCTCTCTCTCCCCGTGTCTCCCTCCTCTCTCTCCCCGTGTCTCCCTCCTTTCTCTCCCCGTGTCTCCCTCCTCTCTCTCCCCATGTCTCCATGTCCCCTTCTCTCTAGGTGGTGCAGGTTCAGGAGTTTACTGGCTGCACTCCGACCTTTGGCCTTGGCTGTCGCCCAAGTGGGATTGTCGCACAGCAGTCAAACCTATAGCATCAGTATCTGTCCCATGACCTCCTCCTGCACCTAGCCTGGCACAGCAGTCAACCCATGACACCTGGCTCTGTCTCGTGACCTCCTGCACATAGCCTGGCACAGCAGTCAACCCATGGCACCTGGGTTGTTGTGATATCACCATTATGTAGTGGAAAATTACGGCTGTTGTCGTTGTGAGTTTATAGGTTTGTGTGAGTAATGGTGCGTGTGTGACTTTCATGACGTGTGTGAGAGTAGGATGGTAGGGGTGTGTGAGTGTCATGGTGAGTGTGGGTGTGTGAGTATTATGGTGAGTGTGGGTGTGTGAGTATTATGGTGAGTGTGTGGGTGTGTTAGATGGCTGGCAATGTTGGTGGGTGGTGATGATGATGCAAGCCTTGTGCTCGAGAATGGCACACTGAAACTAATATCATGTAGCTACTTCTGAGTACCCTTCAAGTGCTGTCTGGTCCACATTGTAAAGGGCAGGACTTTCCCACCTGCTCTTTATTTAAGAGCAACGTTGGTCACAACAATGTTATTACTTCTTACAGCTGGAATTTATCCTAAGTACATGGAGAACCACATTGCAGCCATGTGATAGTTGATGTTGTGCAGTGAATGATGACCGGGCTGAGACCATTAACTCGCTCGACTTGAGAATCTGCTTTGATCACAGGTGACTGCCTGGATTCAATCCCAGGTACTCCGTGGTGCCAATTCAGTGCTATGACCGCAAGGTCCATGGGCCACCTCTAAACACCCCCACGTTAAAGACATAAGCAGCAACCTGTTTAGTGAGCAGCAGCATTCTTTAAATATTTTTCCAAAGCAATTGGGATTGTGGAGCAGTGGCACAGTCCTGCATTTCCTTTCTCTTTAATCCACCAAATGCAACTTGCCGCTCGATTGTGGCGCACCCATTTTTACACTTGTTTCAACTGCTGTGGCAGATGGTGGAGCAGAGGGGCAGTGGAGCAGATTGGCAGTGGAGCAGGACAGTGAAGCAGAGCGCAGTGGAGAAGTGGGGCAATAGAGCAGAGGAGCAATGGAGCAATGAGGCAGTGGAGCAAAGGAGCAGTGGGGCATTGGAGCAGTGGATCAGTGGGGCAGATGAGGGGTGGATTTGTCGTGAAGAAGGCGAATCATCTGAATATGTGCTCTGAAGAAGAACCATTTCCCAAAACGTCTCTTTTTATCTATGTCCTTGTCCCGCCGCACACACAGCCGGGACACGGCACACACGAGCCAAGGCACATTTAACCAACCCAGGCAGCACTCGCAAGCAATGCAACATTACGTTGTGTCCTCATGAGTTGATTTCACAAAGTTTATAGTAACAACAACAACAAAAATATTGATCCTAATTCTTAACCGGGTGGCCTTAAGACTTGGCACGTGCAGGTTTTGTTCATTGTCTGCACCAGACCCCTGCAGCCGTCTCTTTCTGGGTCAGCTGCCCCTTACATGTCCTGGAAACCATGGCAAGGTCATCGCATGAGGACCGCCTGGATGAAAACCAGCATGGAAGGGGCCCAGTGTGGGGCCGGCTATGCTAATGGAATAGTCCCATGTGTGTGTGTGTGATGTGAGGTGTCCTGGAAGCAGTCATTCTCCGCTGCAGTACTGGCATCTGCTGCTCAGTTTCATCCCCCAGCTGTGGTCCCAGTGGCACCGTGGGTCGTGTGGTGATAGCAGTCACGGTTGGCGCTGATCCGCGGCCACCACCCCTACTGGGCGGTGTACCTGCCTCCACAAAGTAGCATGTGGCGGAGGAGTGAGGTGAACGCTCTCGCCATGCGAGCGAGGCCCCCTCGCTTCCTCTTCTTTTCGTGCATCTCCACCTGCACCTCCTCCATCTTCTCCTCTGTCTCATCCTCCATCCCCTCTTCTCCTCCTCCACTAGCACCATCTCTTCTTCCTCCATCTTCTCCTCACCCTCCTGCACCACCATCTCCTCCACCCTCTTCTCTTCCTCCTCCACCACCACCATTGTTTCCGCTTTGTCCATCGTCTCCATCTCCTCCACCACGACCATCTGTTCATCCTTTGTTGTCTCCTTGTCCTCCATCTCCGTATTGTCTTTATCCTCTCCCTCCGTGCTCTCCTCCATTGTCGCCATCACAATCTCGTCCTCCTTTGCCTTCTCTTCCTCCGTCTCTACTTCATTCTCCATCTCCTTCACCTCTTCCTTCGTCTCCTTCTGCACAACCTCTGACTTCGCTTCAAAGGCCTGGACGAGTGGGGAGGAGGGCTGCTTTGGCTCAGATCTGTGAAGAGACAAACACGACACCGTTCCACCTTCCTGCTACGGCAGACATCGCCATCTCCCATGGTCCGTGGGTGTAATGCGTGGCGGATTAATTCAAGCTTAATACAAACAGCAATAACGACATGGCCAGTGAGTGTGCTTAGCATTGGCGCTGTCATTCTCATGGGGCAAGGCTATCCTTGAGATTGATTCAGCTGTGTCTCACACAGACTGTTGTAGTTTCACAGTAGTGAGTGGCCTTGCTGTGTCAATTTAGCTGAATCATTTGTAGTGACATTTATCTTTCTATGTGTATTCTAATTGATCCCTTGGACATAATGGCCTACGCATTTAAACTGACATCGGTGGAGATCATGAACGTCCACTGTGATGGAATGGGTGTGTATCTTTGTGGTTAATGCAGCGGCAGTAATAGCCAGGGCAGGAAGCAAGATCTGAACTGTAAGTGGTGAGCGATGAGTGCGCGATCCTTTGGCTGCTTCAACCCATCCACGATTTCGATAAAAGATCCGACAGTGATTTGAGGTCGACAGAGCCGCCTCCCTTGACGTCGAAGGCATCTCAGAGTGCATTGAGCGCAATGAGCCACTCACATCTCTCATCTCAACGCATTTGAAATTGGACACCCCTCCCAGTGGTCGCTGTGTCTGTGCATTACAAGGCAACTTGTCAACTGGCCTGGAAACAGGCATGAGATTGCGAAATTATCACTGTGGATGGAGGGTTAAATGGTGAAATATGGCCGCATCGTTATCTGGTCTCACCCAGAAACCAATTATGGAAAGTAAATCTGTCCACAGTATAGCGCAATGTACACGTGGGGTTTGCAGTGTCTGTATATTTTGTGAGTGCGGCAGGGCTGGAGCACCTGTGCCTCACAGCAAAAGGGACCTGGGTTTGATTTCCACGTTGGGCCACGTTATCTGTGTGGAATGTGGTGCCCCCTGTTCTAGGAAGATTCAGCAGCTTTCTCCCTGTAACTGAACCCACACAATCAATGCAAATCGCTCCATTTGGATCACAAACAGCAGAAACTTTGTTACCAACTGCGAGCAAACTTGACAGGACCCTCCTGAAAAAAGTCTTGAGACTTAGTGAGGCTCATCCTGCCTAAACAAGCATGATAATAAATGAAAATAAACACACAGGACACATGCAAGAGTGGTTTACCGTGAATCAGCGGCTCCAGCGTTTACTTTTTCTTCTTGGAAGCCCTCTTCTCCAAAGCTCGGAGCAATCGGGCCCTGCACAGGAGTGGCGGTGGTGGTGGCGGCGGAGGTGGTATTGGTGGTGGTGCTGCTGGTGGTAGCGGTCTGGAGGCAGTGTTGCTCGATCTTGGCGAGGCGCTGCTCCTCGAGGCGCTTCTGCATGAGACGTTTCTCCTCGACAAGCTTCACCTTGCCCAGGCGCCTCTCAAGATGCTTCTTCTCGAAACGCTTCAGCTCTATGAGACGCTTCACCTCAGAGGCGATTGTCTTCCTTGACCCGCCTCTCCTCTATGAGGCGCTTCTCTTCCTCCACCCGCCTCTCCTCTGAGGCGCTTCTCCATGAGGCGCTTGTCTTCCTTGACCCGCATAGCTTCTATGAGGCGCTTCTCCTCATCGACATACTTCACAATGGCGAGGCGCTTCACCTCAGCAAGGTACTTTACCCTGGCAAGACGCTTCTCTTCCAGATGCTTCTCCTTGAGACGCTTCACGTCGCGAAGGCGCTTTTCCTCCATGAAGCGCGTTTCCTCAAGGAGGCGCTTTTCCATGACGCGTTTCATGTCATTGAGGATCTTGTTTCTAAGGCACTTCTGCTCCGTGAGGTGCTTCAGCTTGGCGAGGCGCTTCACCTCAATGGGGCGCTTCTCTTCCATGATGCGCTCCTCCACAAAGCGCTTCTCCTTGAGATGCTCCTCCTGGAGACGCTTCACTTCTGCGAGGTACTTCACTCTGGAGAGACGCTTCTCCTCACGGAGCCGCTTCTCCTCCATGAATCGCTTCTCCATGGAGCGCTTCTCCTCAATGACGCACTTCTCCATGAGGCAGTTCTTGAGGAGATTGTCTGGAAGGCATTTCTCCTCTGGGATGTGCGTCACCCTGGCAAGGCGCTTCATCTCAATGAGGCGGTCCTCTTCCATGGTGCGTTTCTCCTTCGCAAGGTGCCTGTTCTCTTGGAGACGCTTCACCCCGCTGAAGTTCTTCACCTCCCCA